ACTTTTTTTACGTTCATCAAACTAATCAACTTGATTGCTGTTGATTATCGTTGATTAAGATGTAAAAATATCTAAATTGTTACTTTAAATTGTTAACCTGAGATTTTTTTTTCTTTAAATAGAATTCAAAATTCAACTATTATTATAAACAACTTCCTATGGGAATTTTTTTTTTGCTTAGTATTGAAATGTTCATGATTTTAATTGTTGTTGCTTGATTGTGATTAAATTTGTGTGTTAAATGATTAGTTGCATGATCATCTTAGACTTTATTTGATTGTCATGGTTAATAATAAACCGTAAACTACAATTAATTAACTATAGTAACGATCCAATGTGTTAATCTTACAATCGGAAGTTAAATTATTATCTTTATTACAATCTAATTACAATTTAGCGTTTAAATCATTCAATTTGAAACAATTAACGATCAACTTTTAAACTCATCTTTTCAATTAAACGAAATTGAAATTCAAGATTAAATTGATTACAATCAAATGGTAATCAAAAGCGTGACCACAATTAACTAACCACATAATCACGATCAGCGGACATTTTAATTGAGATGATAATTATTATCATTATTAAGTCAAACAATTATCTAAATTGTCCATGATTAGAAACAATATCAAAAGAAAAAATATTCCGATCAAAATTTTAATCTAATCAACCAAATTAAACTAATCATTGAGTAACAATTAACCTATAAACACAATCAAAAGGCCAAACCCAATCGAGGCTCAAAATGATAATTACATTATAATGATTAGTTAATCCAGATAAATGTCAATTGATTGTTAGTTATAATAAACAACCGAGATGAGGAAGAAAACATTTTGATAACTAATCATAATCTTCCTACTTAATCCTCCCAATCGCCTCCTGACCACCACCACTTCCTCCTCCTCCTTGCCCACTTCCTCCCAGTGTCCACTATAAGATAACTGACCCCTCGGAGATAAAACTTACTCATATGAAGATGAAAAAATTGAATCGAAATCAAATTAGTGGCCTGAGCATTAATGTCACCTCTTGATCCTCATCATGTTTAATCATCATGTTAACTAATTGTTGAGGTACCAACAAGTTAGTTAAGTGTACAATTGACATCTGGTTCGATTTGTTTAGAGGCCTCGATTGGAACGTTAGAACTTTTTTTGAGAAAAAAGTTCTAATGATAATGTTTACCTTGTTGTTGTTGTTGTTCATAATTTGAGGTTCATTATAAATCTCATATTATGATTAACATTGATAATCAATTGATTGGAAACAAAAAGTGTCTCCGTCAACCCGAATGACAAGTGGCCTCAAGTGACTTCATCGATTTCAAATTCATAATTTTCGCCTCTTAATTTGCCTCCGGAACAATTTCTTCAAACTAACAATGAACAAGTAACAATTAATATTAATAATATAGTTTTTAATTCAGTTCAACTTTTTCTCGTATAATAATTTTATTTGTATTACTATGATTAACTTTTTGACTTTCATGTTAATCTTGCTTAATAATAGACTTTGTAATTGATTAATTGTTGCCTTTAATTGGGTTGGATTAATTTTCCAATCTAGTTTCCAATTTTTACTTGCATCGTATTAGTTTCAGTACTTTCGGACCGATTAGATTGAGATAATTATGATTAGCTAATTACAATCATTTTCTTACAAATGATAATCTTAATCTCTAACCGATGATTTAACTTGGATTAAGCTCTAAGTTGATACTAATTAGGGTTCAAAAGTCAAATGAATTCTGGATAATTAGATTGTCCATTTTGAAAGGTTCCGTTTACCGTTAGGGTTGACCCGTAATTTTGACCTCCTGATCGCTGAGGTCGAGACCGATAATCGTCAGCTAGAAACGCACTTATTGGCCTGGAAAAACAATCGAAATTGAGATTCTATGTTGATAAATCATTGGGATTCGTCTTTGATTTCATAATTATCTTTCTTGTGTTATTTCATTCATTGGATTCATTAAGATGGTGATGTGATCATGACGTTGATTAAGTTAATTGTTGGTATCATCTTGATTTATACTTTGATATAATCATGGTTTTTGTTTTTCGTTTTTCATTGTTAACTTTCACCATCATGATTAGTTAATTACCCGGCAACTATTTAGCCTAATGTTACACTGATTAACAATTAATACAATGCTAATTAGAGAGCGCCCATTAATGAGCAGTAAATTTGTTGAATTTTTATCATCAAATTAGTATGATTAATATTAAATTATTACACTGAAACAAACAACAATTAATAATTTATGTTCATTGAGAAGGTGAAAAAGTTTAGTCCAAACTATTGTATGGAAATGGTATTATTATCAACATGAAAATAATAACAATTGAGGAGGATGAGATGAAGAGGATAATCATCACAATTAAGAAAAAAGTGGAAAGCAAAAAATTAACTTGATTGTAAATTCATTGTAATAGATTATATTTGGAAAAAGTCAACATCGTCCGAACAATTAGTAAACGATTAGTGGGATAATTAAAAAGTAACAATTATAATCAACAGCTGATTGTGTTGATCTTAATTAGAACAACAATTAACATGAATTATCAATTAGTCATAAAGGATAATAATGAATATCGAGATCAATGATATTAATTTGCGAAAAAGTTTATTGTTACTATTGTTGTTTATTGTACAATGTTGATGCTTTTTCATTGCATGATGATGAAGATGAAGATGAAGATGATGATTGTGTGTGGATATTGTTGAGATAAATGTGGAGGATGATGAAGATGATGAAGATACTGATGATGATGATAATAATAATAATAAGCGGCTCCTATCATGGTACAACAGCCGCAACGAAATCTTATCACCTGTTAAACTTTAATTCAGGTGAAATGTTACCCAAGAAACAGATCAGACGTGTTTACATTCAATCTGCTTTTCTATTTGTTTATTAATATTTTAATTGATGAAATGTTTTATTCCGTAATCATTATCAATATTTCATCATCATCATCGTCATAGTTTCTTCCTTCCTTCCTTCCTTGACCATAGCCATTGATCATATTGACCACTAGATGGACATTGACAAGTTTACCAAGAGAATCAACAGATGGAGTAGTTAAGCTAATTCCTGGACCGATAATTATCCTCAACAGGTAACATGTTTCGACTACAACAAAGTAAATATGTTTACCTTTTCCCACACAATTTTCCAAACAAAAATGTTTGAAACAAGGAGAAGAAGAGAAAGAAAAGGAAGATGAAGAAGATGATGAAGAAGATGAAGATGAAGACGAAGGATGAAAACTAGGAAGATAAGGATGATAAAGAAAGAGAAAAGTAAAGAGAAATAATTTGTTCTCTTCTTACAAAATCGTAGACTAGAAAAAAGGTAAAACAAGTTAAAAGCGAACAGGTAATTAATAATTAGACTAATTGTTACAATTGAATAATAATAATATCACCTAATCTCCACCTTCACCTTCATTCATCTCATTCTCCCACCGCTCATCCATCCATCCCTCTCTCCCTTACTCTCTCTATCCTCTCTCTCTCTCTCTCTCTCTCTCTCTCTCTCTTCATTCTCACTCACTCTCCTTTTCCTCCCACCTTGAAGAAGAAGAAGAAGAGAAATTAACAAATGGTTCGAATTTTTTTCTCTCCGGTGGGAATTTAATGCAACAACAAATAAAACCCATAGACTTTTGGACCAACATAAACACAGATGGAGAAAGAGATGAGGATGAGGATGTTGAGGGACGAGAACGAGTCGGGATACCACGTGTTACATAAAAGCCGCTGTTCTTCAATCAGCTGAATGAGCAAAACAGTTTCTTCTCACGGTTACCGATTTAATCGTCTTGTAATTATCAATCATCTGGAAGACTAAAAGACTTGACCAATGGTAATCGACATCATGTCCACTCCTTTCAATCAACATTCAAATGCTCGTAATTAAAAAATGCATTTTAATTGCAAGTATCAAATCATTTCTCGAATGCAAATCATTCAAATTTCAATATTGTTCCGAAACTAAAGTGAAGCCATTCATTAATTGTTATTATTAGAAAATGATAATAACCTTTGGAACAAAATCTCTTTAATCAAACTTTTTTTTCGATTTAATTGAAATTTATATGATTAAACTCTCATCATCTTCATCATATTTCTTATTCTCTCATCTTCCTCTACATCTGCCTCTTTCTTTTCGTTCTTTCTTTTTTCATCTTCCTCTCATTTCTGTTCACCTGTAAAATGAATGTTTAATTTAAGTTAAAGCATCTTGATGATGAGAGGAAGAAGATGCTATGTGAAGAAAGGAAAGAAAGAGGAAAAAGAAGGTGAAAGATGATAAAGAAGAGAGAGAAGATAAAATTCTATGAGAAAAAAACAATTGTGATTTACTCTCTCTCTCTCTCTCTCTCTCTCTCTCTCTCTCTCTCTCTCTCTGCCTTCTCTTTCTTTCTCACTCGTAAAAAGTACGTAGGTGAAGGTAGAGGTAGATATTATTTCATAATATTCCTTTTAAAGTTTGACCATAAGAAGATGAGGATGACTAACAAGTAAGAAAGAGAAAAAAGAAAGTGAACTAATCTTCTCTTTCTTTTTTTCTCAGAGAATTTCCCTCTCTTTTTACCTTTCTTTTTTTTCACATAGCATCTTCTTCTTCTTCTCATCATCAAGATGCTACACAACTCAAATTAAAGATTCATTTTACAGGTGAAAAAGGAATAAGAAGAAAAAGAAAGAGGCAGATGGAGGAAGAGAAAGAAGAGAGAGAGAGAGAGAGAGAAAGACGTTTAAGAAGCACAAGAAGAAGAGAGAAGAAAGAGAAGAGGATGATAAAGAGAAGGAAATTAAAAGAAAGAGAAAAAAGAAAGAAAAGTAACCGAAGAAAGAGAAGAGAGAGAAAGTAAATATGTGCCTTTTCCTTAACAAAATTTGCCACTTTTCTCAGTCAGAGTGAGCCACTAAATCGTCATCCTTATCATCCTCATCATCTTCCATATGAGAGACTGGTTCTCATTTGGAGTTTAGTTTACCTTCATCTCTCAACCGAGTAACATCTTGATCCTTTTCATTTGTTATTTCTTGTGTTACCTTTACCTTTTATCATCCTCATCATCATCTCTCCTCTGGTGATCATCCTCATCATCTCTCTGTAGTATTTAACTTACTCTCTCTGTATTTTTATCTTCACTTGATCTTCAATCATCAATCGAGACACACTGACCTCCAATTCACAACAAACTTTAATTTGGTGAACATTTCAATTTTCTTAATCTTCTCATCTCGTTAATCTTGTGAATTATCAACCAATTAAATCAAAATGGTGGATAAACATACTACTGTGTCTGAACGTGTCACCAAATATCATCATAATCATCATCATCATCATTCAGTTCCTTTGGAAGATACAACCAATAGGAACATTTTGAGGATTAAACGTGAAAGAAGACGACAATTAAGATTAAGGGAATATCAAAATCTTTGTAAACTAATCCCATCTCTTAATGGATTAAATATTGTTCCAAAGGTAATTATCTCAATCTTAACTCTCCCCTAATGCAACAATCAAACCAATTAATTGTTCAATCAAAATGAGAGATACAAAAGTCCACCGATAACAAGAGCAATTAGTTAATCACAATTAATCGAACACAGATCGTACATATTAACCTCAAAGTAAACAAATTGATTGTTGAACAAACTTTAATTATCTCTAGTTAACTAAATCAAAGTACAAGAACCTTAAATTGAACACAATTAACCAAATGGTTGATTGCGAAAATACAATTTTCAAAAGTAAATTGATTGTTTATATTACAATTTACACGAAAATGTGAATCTTGATACTAATTGTTTATTTCTCTCTCTCTCTTTTAATTGTTTAAAGGTTAAAATAATTAATGAAGCAGTTAAATACATCGATGAACTTCATCAACAATTAATAATTAAATTAGCCAAAGAAGGCTCATCAGAAAGTGACATCAAAGCATTTAAGGATAACTGGATCAATGCTAAATGTCAATTGCAAGTACAAAACAACAACACCACCACCACATCAACACCCACCAATATGAACACAACAACGACACCAACCATCACCACCCACAACAACAACAACATCATCATCACCGACACATCCCTGTGTAAAAAACAGTTTGATAAACAGTCAAAGTTAAAACAATTAACACAATTGTAATTTAAACTAATTCTGCATATAAAGTATATCCTTTTTTATTTACTATTAATTATTATTATTATTTTGTATTAACCTGATGAAATTTTTGTATACATAATAAATTAATTGTATAAATTGATTATCAATCAATTAATCCAACCAATCAACACGAAAAGTGCAAAAAAATCAATAAAAGAAATGAACTTTTGTATTCAAAGGAAAATCATATGTTTGTATTTATCTGAATGGTCAATGAATGAAAGGATTGATGAGGATAAGGATGAGGATGAAGATGAGGATGCTTTGGATTGGGATGAATGAGTGTCTCTGTGTGAGTGTTGGTGTAGGTGGATGGATGATAATGATAATATTAAGGTATTGATAATAATTTGAATTTGATAAAATTGATCACACGACAAATGATAACGATTAGAGATTGGGAACCGTGAGAATCAACTGTTTTATCAACTCGATTAGCAGCTGATATTATAACAGTGGTTTACCTAACACGTGGTCTCTCCCTTCTCGTCATCATTGTCATTTTCATTCTCATCCTCATCTTTATCTTCATCTCTTTCTCTTCCTCTCTCTTTCTCCATCTGTGTTTATGTTGGTCCAAAAGTCTATGGGTTTTATTTGTTGTTGCATTAAATTCCCACCGGAGAGAAAAAAATTCGAACCATTTGTTAATTTCTCTTCTTCTTCTTCTTCAAGGTGGGAGGAAAAGGAGAGTGAATGAGAATGAAGAGAGAGAGAGAGAGAGAGAGAGAGAGAGAGAGAGAGGGAGAGAGGGATGGATGGATGAGCGGTGGGAGAATGAGATGAATGAAGGTGAAGGTGGAGATTAGGTGATATTATTATTATTCAATTGTAACAATTAGTCTAATTATTAATTACCTGTTCGCTTTTAACTTGTTTTACCTTTTTTCTAGTCTACGATTTTGTAAGAAGAGAACAAATTATTTCTCTTTACTTTTCTCTTTCTTTATCATCCTTATCTTCCTAGTTTTCATCCTTCGTCTTCATTTTCATCATCTTCTTCATCTTCCTTTTCTTTCTCTTCTTCTCCTTGTTTCAAACATTTTTGTTTGGAAAATTGTGTGGGAAAAGGTAAACATATTTACTTTGTTGTAGTCGAAACATGTTACCTGTTGAGGATAATTATCGGTCCAGGAATTAGCTTAACTACTCCATCTGTTGATTCTCTTGGTAAACTTGTCAATGTCCATCTAGTGGTCAATATGATCAATGGCTATGGTCAAGGAAGGAAGGAAGGAAGGAAGAGACTATGACGATGATGATGATGAAATATTGATAATGATTACGGAATAAAACATTTCATCAATTAAAATATTAATAAACAAATAGAAAAGCAGATTGAATGTAAACACGTCTGATCTGTTTCTTGGGTAACATTTCACCTGAATTAAAGTTTAACAGGTGATAAGATTTCGTTGCGGCTGTTGTACCATGATAGGAGCCGCTTATTATTATTATTATCATCATCATCAGTATCTTCATCATCTTCATCATCCTCCACATTTATCTCAACAATATCCACACACAATCATCATCTTCATCTTCATCTTCATGCAATGAAAAAGCATCAACATTGTACAATAAACAACAATAGTAACAATAAACTTTTTCGCAAATTAATATCATTGATCTCGATATTCATTATTATCCTTTAATCATGGTTAAAGTTGTTGATTCATTATATGAATACCTTCATATTATAATATGAATGGTTGATTGTTTCAACTCCAAGAAAACATAACTGATTCAATTAAATGTTAACATTTGGTTGGAATCAGTTGATCAACTGATCAACAATTATAATCACAACAATCAGTTTGAATGAAACCAAACTGATACTGAAGCAAATTAAATTTGACAGATTGACAGGAAAATCTGTAAATTGTATTGTAATAATCAAACAACAATATGGAAAAATATTAACACAATATAAACTTGAATTTGATGATAACAATGATACAGATAATGTCAACTATTTAAGCGACTCATTTAAATCAATTTAAATGGTTAACAAATCAACAACAACAACAATCATAATCATCTCGATGATGATAATACAATTAACAATAAGAATCCTAATTTTGTGTTGAAAGTCAATGAAAAGTGTAACAGTTTCAGAGGTGAAAAAGTGGACACTTTTTTCCCGCTTCCAAATCTGGACAATAAACTATCAACATCCGAATACAATACTGACCATTGAATGACCATCATCCAAGTTACTACTTATTGTTTGTGAATAAAAATGTGAAATGATGATAATGATGATGCTTTTTAGTTGAACCGTAAAAATTAATAGTAAAGTGTAGTGACCACTACAATCAATGAGTGTATATGTGTGAGAGAGACAATCAATGAGATTGACTGAACTGACCATTTAATGTTGAAGATAATGATTATGATTATGATGATAGTTGATTGTTGTTGTCTTCTTATATTGTGTTACCTGTTGATTGTTAGGATTTCCTTTGATTAACGAACCGGATCAAACCAATTGAAATGAAAACGTTTAACCAATTTGAATGGGTTAAATGGTCAAGTTAAATTGTTAAGTGAAAAAAAAAGTGGACACACAATAAATTAGAAAGGAGAAAGTTAAAGGTGGAAGATAAAAATTGATGAGTAAGAAGATGATGAGGATGAAGATGAAGATGAAGATGGAGATGGAGATGAAGGTGTGTGTTGGTCAGTTTTTGCTTTCTTAAGATGACGATGATTAGGATGACGGTTTAAGTGTTAAACTAATGGTCAAGTCAAAAAGGCTACAAAGGTTATATTATTGTGAGAGAATGTGATGTGGTCACTATTTAAGGATGATGATGATGAGAGGGTGGAGATGATGATGATTGAAAATTTTTCTCTTCATTTTAACTTTCTTCAAATCTTATCTTCCTATTCCCATGTATCTTCAATTGCTATTCACCTTGTTAGTGGTCACTAATGGTCACTAAGTTTGTTAAAATAACCCGAGTGGATCAATTTATTTTTAAACACCTTTTAACTAACTAACCACCCACCACACTGACCACCACATGGTCAATGGTCAATGATGAAAGATGAACCTGTTAATCTGATATAATTATTTTCGCAATCATAATTATCATCGACATCTAAAAAAAGTAAAAGATGAGGATGCAATTGATTAGAGTAAATTGTAGATTTGAGCCAATATCACAATAGAAATCAATTATTAATAAATTGGGAAAATCGGTTAATCTGTACAAATGATTAACTGATTTAAATTGTTAATCATACATATGAAACATACACTTACAGGTAAATTGTGTTTACCTTTGTAATGATAAATTGTTGCATCTAAATTATGATAAGTTAAATTTATCATATTGAAAAAAAAGGTTCGTCCTTTAATGATAACAGTTTATGTGACATTTAATAGATGATCAGGTAAACAATCAAAGGTAAATTGTGAAATGATTGAAAGGTAAAATGTTAATAATCAACATATGTATACACTTTTTGTTCAATGACCAATGTGAAAATATTTGCAATCATAATAATAGTAACAACAATCAAGGTACAATAACAACAAACGGTCAACGGGTTTGGTCAAACATCATGTTAAACAATCAACGGAAAACATTGTAAACATCAAATATCATCAATGTGTTCATGTTGGTATTAAATATAAATACAAATTTACTCTCACTCACTGGACATTAGTAAAAAAATCCATGTGTATGGGTCAGTGGTTCAATCTATTGTGAAAACTGACCAACAAAGAATAAGGAAGAAAAAAAATTCGATATTTTTTTCGATTTTTTTTCTCAACATTATTATTAATACTCTCTCTCTCTCTCTCTCTCTCTCTCTCTCTCTATCAATGGTCACTATTGACCATCATTGCTCTGGTCAGTTTACTTGAATACTTAATGAGATGATTTATCTTCATGATGATGGTTAAAGTTTGAAAATCAACACTAACATTTTGATCACTTTGAATGATTAAGTTAATTACTTATGATTAATTTCTAGGTGATGTATGGGTTTAGGTGCAGTTGCAATAATTAGGTGTGAACCACTGAGATCTTGTCATCATGATGATCACAATTAACAAATAATCATAAAGTTGATTGTTTTTAAAGTTGATAACTTTTGTTATTTACAATTGGGAAAAACAAAAATTCAGTAGGAAGTGATTCTGATTACTGAAACTTTTTTTTCATCATCATCTTTGATTATCATGATAATTTATCATCATCCTTATCATAATCATCATCATCATGATTAAATATTAATATTATTGATTAATGTAGGCGATGATTAGAAATTGAAATACAAAAAAAAAACGAACCAGCAACAATCAAGTAAATTGTCAATAGATCTGATAATATTTCAACAATCAATATATTCTGATAATTTTGGTTGATAAGCTAAATAAGGTTTTTAATTGTTACTCATACTCAAAAATATTATCCTGATTGTTAACAATTTACCATTAGTTTAAATCAAGATAATAATCTGATTACAGCTTATTAAGGTAAGTTATTAATTATTTACCATTTATATTTAATATTGACCATAATGTTGGGATTGGGTGGACGATGATGATGATGATTTACTCGGTGGGAGGAGGTGGTCAGTGGGAGGAAAATGGTAGGTGAAAAGAGAGATGGGAATCAGGGAAGGGCCTTCAACCCCAATCAACCTTTAATATTTAGTTAATTGTGATTAAATTAGTGTGGGATGATCAGCGTTGGCAACTGACCACGCTTCTGAATTGATAACAAATTCAATCAGTTGATTAACATGATTGTCTAATCATTAGACTGTATTACTTATTTATTGTAACTTAATGGTAACTATTAATATTTTTTTTTTCTTCTTCATTCCAACTGATCAATTGGTTTAATTGTTAACAATTAATGATGATAATAGATTTTTTTTTAATTTTCTTATATTACTCGACCACACACACAATTTATGATTAACTTTTGATTGTTACCATTTAATCAAATTAGTTATTTATTTATTTACAATGTTTCATATTTTGTTTTACCTATTAAATTGCCTCAGGCTAGATAACAATTAACTGTCCAAGGTTAAGTCCATTGGTCAGTTTTTTTTATTACTTTCTCTCTGGGAAAATTTTTTCTCACACAGTAGTTAACAATTAACCTAATTGTTAATCAATTATCAATTATATGTATATGATAACCAGATGTCTGC